CAACAACAACAACAACAACAACAACAACAACAACAACAACAACAACAACAACTGCAGACCTCCTTCCAACTCAATATTAAAACATTAATGATGCTTCTTTAGGGGGTTGATGTACATAAAATGCAGAATGAGACAGATTTTTGGACATGGCTAATAGAATTTGATTTATGGACTATGGATATTTATTATGGGAATTTTCTTTTACCTTTTTATTATTCACAGAGGGAGTGGGAGGGACAGAAAATGAATTAAGGTAAAAATAAAAAAAAATTAAACAAGAAAGAAAAACAATGAGATATTGGATTTAAAAAATAATTCCTCATTGGGCCCAGTCTTTCAACTAGTTCTAAATCTGCCTAAATATTATATAATCTAACCAATAGCTCTCCATCTTTCCCACATAATATACTTTTCAAATACTTCAAAAATCAAGGTCACTATATTTATAGCATTCCTCTGACTGAGCACTCTAGTAATACTGTTAAAAAAAAGGAAATTATATAACATCTTCTCAGAGATCACCATTTTTGTTTTTGTTTTGAGCATCTATTTAATAATGTGTGCTAGAATTTTCCCAGGAATAGAAGTTGACCAAAATGACATACTTTACAAATCTCATTCTCTTCCTTTAAATTCATTCATTCATTCATTTAGTTATTTGCCTGTCTCCTTTCTGGTAGCACCTATCCTACCTTCTCTAATCATTCAAAGATCACTGGCGGTGGTTCCATGATCATATTCATTAGTTCTCTCATTACTTTGAAATGGTGTTTATCAGTTGCAAGTAGAACTATGTGCTCTCTTACTATATCTGTAATTATCTTAGACTTTAACTCCTTAATTGCCATCTTTTTACTCTGTCTTTTTATTTCCAAAGACCATTCTCCTTCACAGAAAACAGAGGCAAAATAAAGTGTTGACCAGCTCTACATTTTCTTTGGTTTAGATTGACGTTATACCATTTACCTTGAGCAGCTTCCTAGGCCTCCTGTGATCCTTCTCTTTGCTAAAAAAAAAAAAAAAACAAAAAAAACCCACTGATAAATAAAAGAAAAAAAAAACACCTTTCATCGTCAAACTCAGCTTATACTAAAATAGGCTCTGACTCTATTTTTACATGATTGTGGCTTGTTTTTCTATTTATCCTTGTTCACTTGCTTTCTCTTTCATCTTCTGTGCTCGTCTTTTGATTAATTCTAAGTTGGTTGATGAGTTCCTTGTGCATCTACATCAGTCTTGTCTGACAACTCCCTTTTTTTCCTTCTTATTATGACTTTCTTTATCAAATTTCATTTTTGACGATATCCTATAATTTCTGCACCAAATTTCCCTGCTCGATTTGTGATTTTTCCTCAACTCTCCATGAACCCTTTAATTATATTCTTCCCACATTTAGAATGACTTCCACATTATGGACAGATTTTCCTCTCAACTCTTCTCTCAGAAATTCAAAGATCAACTTGTTGCTTCCTCCCAAGGTTCCTACAACTTCTACATCAGCCATCAGTTGCTCCTTATTGGTGAAAATCAGGACTGGAAAGGCAGGGCTTTTTATTTTAATGGGAAAATTTTATCAGACTGATTAACTGATAATAATAATTGTTTTTATGTATGCCTTAGTTTAGCTAAAATTGTTCTGATAATACAAGGGCAAATTTCTAGTCTGACTCTGTAACTGGAGTCCATTCAAGACAAATCAGGTAATGTTCCCTTGTACGCTCACCAATGTATTTTTCTAGGCCTCATAAATGGTGAGTGACTTAAGTAAGTCTCTCTCATTTACTGGTATTAATTGTTCTATATAGATGTAAACAATCTATCATTATGTAGCATCCCTCTCAAACAGTAGTCTCCAGTGATTATATATTCATATGCCTACATGCCTACTACTATGCCTACTACATGCAAAAAATACTTACAGTAAGGGGTTTTTGGTTATCCTTAATGCGAGGAGTTCAAACTGTAGTGGTGGGTGTCTACCACTTTACATTTAGAAAATAAACCTGCACAGCCTACTTCCTTCATTTATTTCAATGCATATCATTTTAACAATGAATCAGAAGAAATACATTCTTTCCAGTTATAGAAGATGCTTAACTAGTCTTCATGGAAGAGCAATGTGGTATAGTAAAATATATACTAGGATTCAGATAGGTGGCACAGTGGGTAGAATGCTGAGCCTGAAGTCAGGAAGACCTGAGTTCAAATTCAGCCTCAGATATGTACTAGCTGTGAGACCCTGAGCAAGTCACTTAACCTCTGTCTGCCTTAATCCACTGGAGAAGGAAATAGCAAACCAGTCCAGTATCTTTGCCAAGAAAACTCATGGACAATATTAGTGTGCTATGGTCCACAGGGTTATGAAGAATCAGACACTAATGAGTGAAAAACAGAATATATGCTGGGCTTAGAGATGGAAGACACTTGGGATGAGATCATTTGTTGTCACATTTATTATATTTGTGACCATGACCAAATTCCTTAAAGTCTATGAATTTTGATTTCTCCCCCTGTATAGTGGGATAATAATATCTGTACCATGTACCATGGAGGATAATTGTGAGGACCAAATGAGACAATGTATATAAAGTACTTTGAAAATGTAAAAGTGTTATGTAAATGACAGTGATCATTATCGTATATCCATTACACCACACCAAAAGTTCCTCAAAGGTATCAGTTATGCTGATGAAGTCACATGTATCATAAATATATATAATATATGTATATGTAGATATACATATGTGCATACACAAACACATGAATATATAATATATTGATCAATGTATATATACACATGGACACGTGTGTGTGTGTGTGTGTGTAAAACAGATTTCATTGAAACCTATCAGTTCACTGTATATTAAATTGTAATTTGTACTACAACATTTGTAATATTGTAATATCTTTCATTAAATAGTGTATAGGATTTAAAATGAGAGTAAGTGAAAAAAGAAGAGATTAGAAAGTGGGACAGATAAAATCAGACAATCTCTCTGCTGATACATTATCTGCTTTATTTTAGCTAGTGAAAATAAATGATTATTGCAAATGATCATGTTCACAAAGTGAATTTTCTATTGGCATGCCTAGAGACATGGAGTGTGGGATGGGGTGGGGAAGGACCTCTGGTCACTTTATCACCTAAGTAAACTAGTTTTACATAAATATTCATTTGTGTTTATTTAATTTTTATACTCTGTCCAAAACAATATAAGACATTTAAAGAAAAAAAAAAGAAAATACATGCTTAAAATAGTAGATATTTTTAGATACTTTAGATGAGCAAATTACAATAGTTTGAGTGAACAAATTTCACCAGTGGTTGTTACTGGTAATTGCTGATTGCCTGATATTTGCTAAGATGTATTACAAATAACAGTTCATAGACCTCATTGGAAATATCTGACATTGAGGAACCTTTCATCATCTGCACCATGTTTTAGAGGAGATGTGGTCAATCTCTAGTACGATTTCAGTGTTTTTCTATAAATGACACACTTTGCACATTAAAAATTATGATCATATGGAAATATGGTCTTCATAATTGCCCATTTTAGACATATTATTAAGTACTAATAAATGTTTCCTTTTTTTTAACAGAATGATGTGGGAGGGCAAAGAATTTTAGTAAATAAATGGAGCACTTTCCTTAAGGCAAGGTTGGTTTGCTCAGTGCCTGGAATGAATGGAATTGATACCCACTTTGATGAATTAGGTAAGTATCATAGGTGGAATTAAAAATTATTATGTGATATTTGTGACAACTTTATGCCCCCCATTTGGCACCTATCTATAAGGATAATTTGTTCTGCATGATATTTGATATATGCCTATTTTAGAAGGATTTTCTAGTTACTATAATCTAGCTGTATCTATGCTATGTGAGTAATTTGGGCATGGAACCAAAAATTTGGTCCATCCAATTAGCCTGGGGCCAGTATTTTTGGTTCCTTGCCTTGTGGTTCAGCCATATAGACAAGCTATAAAGCTTCAGACTAACTATATTTTTAGTCTGGTATGATTTGCATGTGGTTGTATTATTTTCTAAGACTAAACAAAACTTTAAAAAGTTTGTAAACTATTTTATGTCAAATTAGTATGATATGGAATAATATAAAATTATTGAAAATATAATGATTATTAGCACTTAGAAATATATTGTTCTGTTTTAATTTTATAGAGGATATTTTTTTGCTGCATATAAGAGATAATAAAAATCCAGTGATATTTGGACTCTTTAATACAACCAGGTGAGTATTTAATAAATCAATGGAAACAAAAAATGTATACCAGTTTTCATGAGCCTTCTTATCACCAAGGCTTCTACCTTGAGTTGTTTTATTTTTTTTCTTTTTTATCCCCTACATCATACCAGTCTCTAAATCTTGCTTGCTCTTCCTCCGTAGATATATACACACATGCACACACATACACATATACATATATGTGTATTTGTGTGTATGTATACCTACATATATATGTGTATATATGTGTGTATATTATACATACATAGTTTCCTTTCTGCTTCCAAAGTCACAATCCCAATATGGAAGCTTATTATCTACTGCTCTGCATCCTAATCTTCCATGTTCTTTCCACTCAGTTCATAATTGCACACACATTTCATAATAATGACCTTTGAACATAATTTTCAGTATATCACCTCTTATTTAAGACCCTCAAGTGACTGATTCTGTTTTGCCTGTTATATCAGATATTTTCTAGCCTAACATTCAAGTCCTCCATGCCCATCATTCCAACATCATATCTAATCATTCCCCAACATCATCTCTCTTATTTACTTTAGATAACTTTCTGGTTTCCAGCATTTATTTGTTCCTTCTGAGTGGGTGGTTTCATCTTTTACTCCCTCTTCCTGGAATTGTTTGCACAAACTCATGGACCTTCCTACAAACTCATGGATCTTTTTAAAAATCACCACCTCTAGGAGGCCTGATCAAACTGACCACATCCCATTATGACCATACTTATATTTTGTTTTTTCTCTTTATCTTTTGTCTTTAGTACGTGTATAAACAGTTTGCATGTTCTTACCTTGTAGTTCCTTCTAACTTCCCTTATAATAATGTCCTAGAATTCTTGAGTTCATGTTTCATCTGCATATGAACATTTAGTCCCTTCAAGATAGGGACTGTGCTCTCTATTTTTTCCTGCAAAATACCAAGTACCATAAATTGCCCAAAGGTACTCCTTTTAACTGATATGAACAGAGAGAAGACAGTTGAAGAAATGTTCCAGTTGGGACCTACCACAAACAATTTAATTTTATTTTCCTGAGTTTTCCTTCCACATATAAATAAAATGTAATAAATAATAAAATCAGTAGAAGCAGGAGGGTGTGCCCAAGATGATACTGGCAAGGACCTCTGGAAATTCACTTTTGTCTCCTTAACAGAGGTGAAATTATATTGTTAATTGTTTACTCATTGCCCAAATTAACCCTTTGTTAACTAGGTTAGGCCTTTATTTTGGCATCTCTCTGATAAGGTGTGAACTCACCTAGTCTTGGGTATCACTGAATCAAAATCACCTTTTTATGAATTTCACTAGTCCTGGAACAGGACCAGGTTTAGTGGTTCCCTGGGCCACTGCTTTGCTAGTCCAATTAATACCCAAGCTATAACCCTAGACATGGCTTTTAAAAGGAGAATTGAAGAGAAAGACAGCTCAAGAGAACCAGAAGTGTAATGGATATAAAGAAGCCATGTTGACTCCAATTCCTATGGGCCTTTCCAGCAAACAATGTGCATAAGGGACTATGTGGCCATAGGAGATTTGGAACCACATGCCCTCAGAGATGGCAGTAGATGGAAAAAGTGGTGGAGAGAACAAGAGAGATTAGAGAGCCATGATGCAGTGAAGCAAAATTAGTTATCCCTCCCTTATTCAGGAGCATTGAGGACATGTTAATTAGGTGCAGAAGAAAAGATTTAGGTGGATATTGATGGGAAGGAGCACCAACATTGAAGTGAGAAGATCTAGGTTTTAACACTGGCTCTGTCCTCTTGTTAGATGAGAGACTTTAGGAAAGTTACTTTTTCTTTCACCTAAGCTTCCTTACCCATAAAAATAAGAGTTCTACCAATCACTTTTTGAGATTCTTTTCAGCAGTCAATAATAAAATTTGCCACATAAACAAAAATGTTGCACAACATATGGTGTGCCCATGTTCTGTTGCACTAATAACCTCTTTTCTCTCCTTGGTTCTCTTTCTGAAACAATTTTAGTGCATTACATTTAATACTGTAACATTTACATGTTGAATTGTTTTCAGATTATTAGTTGCAAGCTAATTTTATGATTAATTTGAAGTCAATCTAACATTTTCTTTTCCTTAAATAGTAAGTCAATTAGTGAATATAACAAAAAGTAGAGCTAACTTTATCATTTTACTTTATCAGTAGAACTTAAGTTTTTTGAGGGCAGGGATTTTTTTTTTTGTTTTGTCTTTGTGTCCCCAGTTTCTAGCACAGTACCTAGCCCATAATAGGTGCTTAATAAATGTTTAGTCAATTGATCGAAATGGAATATATGGGATTTAAGCTGTTATCAGGTTTGAAATTCATTACTCAAAGAAGCCTGAGCAAAATTTTAATGTCAAGTGATGAAAATGATTTCCAATCACGGTTTCTTGGCAGTCTGGCTGTTTCTACCTCTGTCAAGAGACATTTTAACATTCTTAAAACCTTTCAAATAAAAAACATCTTCTTTCATATGTTTATGTGCATTACATTCAATAGTTTGTGTCATGAGTGTGTATATAAGTCAAACAAATAGCAATAAAGAATCACATAAAATGAAGAAATGCAATCATCTGGTAAATTTAAGCCAATTAAAATAACTTTCACTTAAAATAGCTACATTAAGAAAAAAAAGTTTGCTTAGGACTTGAATAATTATTTTACTTTGAAATTTCACTTTGCTGGTTTATATCTGACCTAACAAACAGGATAAGTGGGAACTCAAGGAATTTGAAGAGGTCTTTACAAATTGAATGAATACTCATTTCCTATTTAGTTCTCTCAGAATCAAAAAGTTTGACTCTATAGCTTCTTTAAGTCTTTTCCAAAAGAGTTATTTATTGACCATTTTCTTTCATTTTCTAGTAATATATTTAAAGGGTACGCTATATGTGTCTATCATATGGCAAGTATCCGTGCTGCTTTTAATGGACCATATGCACATAAGGAAGGACCTGAATACCACTGGTCACTGTATGAAGGAAAAGTCCCTTACCCAAGACCTGGTTCTGTAAGTTTAAGCATTTAACATTGAAAAAAAATTTATTTTTTTTTAAATATATGTATTTTTCTACAATAAGTATTTCTTTATACGATTATTCAAATAATTGTCCAAAACAGCATATCCCAATGTCATCTGTAAAAAATAAAGAGCCAAATCCTATTTTCTACATGAAACATCTCTGATCATCTCAATTTATTCTCCCTACAAAAATCAGCTGATACTTATTTTGTGTTTATTCTCAATGCTCTTACATATCTCTTCCAAAGAAAAGACTGGCATCAAAGAACTAGGGTTCAAATCCTACCTTTAGCACAATCTGTGTGACCTTTTGAAAGAGTTATCTATACTCCTTGGCCTCAATTTTCTCATCTGTGAAATTAGAGTGTTGAACCAGAAGGCCTTTAAAGTCCTTTCCTTTGTCGGTCTATGATCTTATGTAGACACTGTCTTCCTAATAGTATACAAGCTGCTTGTGGGTAGGAACTATTGTTGTTTGTTATTATTTTGTTTTGGTCTTTGTTTTCCCAGTATCTGATACAAAGTAGGCACTTATCAAATGTAAATAATCAATACACATATATTTATTAAATGTTTATTATGTGCCAGGAAGTGTGGTCAGTACTGGGGATACAGTAAAAAAAAATGTAACACAGTCCCCACTCTTAAAGAATGTGTCCCAGAATGAAATCAGTCCACAAGGATTTATGAAGCGCCTGCAATATGTACTTAATGGTGAAGATGCATTATAAAAGAATACAGTTACAAAAGAAAAGATGAAAAATTTCCTATGCTCAGTAGCTAACACATATCCTGGAAAGTGGGGATGGAGGATTGGGAAGGGGGGAGATATATATTTTCTTTTCAGAGTTGTGATTATGTGAAAACAAGGTAGGGTAAAATAGTGATTTTAGCTTAATGGCTATATTTCATAGCTCTCAACATATGATAATTGGCTACCTTATGATGATTTTTTTTCTTTTAACCATATAATCTGATAAATGACTATAGAGAGAAATGCTTTTTTAAGGTGAAGAAATTAACCATGTGGAAGAAATCTCTGATCCTATTTTGAATTTACCATTGAAGTTTTAGCTATCCAAGTAGTCTTAAATTAATCTGTATTTGAGATGTTTCAAGAAAGACTGAAATGTAATAACTAACTTAAAAATTTCATGTACTCAACAACTTACATATTATGACTTGGTGAAGCAAATTTTAAATAAGCTTTCTCTGAGTCTCCTTGATAGAATTATGATCTCATGTAATAGTCTTACAAGATTTATAGGTGGAAGGGATCTTAGCCCTCATTTGCCAATGAGAAAACTGAAGCATAGAGAGTTAGGGACTTGCCTAATAAGGTCATTCATGTTGTATGGCAGAACTGTGATTCAAAACCAGTTCTGCACACTATAAATCTAGTGTTCTAATCCCTACAGAAGTGTGAAAGCATTTCTACAAGGACAGGAAGCTCTACTATTTGTTTTTGAATTGGTGCTACTGAGAACTTTTTTTGCCTGTCCATTCAAACTTTTATGGTTTTAATTGGAACAAGAGTCTACAAATGGTTATGTTTTGTATTATGTGTCTTGAGGGCAACTAGGTTGGAAAAATGCAGGATCACTGTATGTGTTATGTGGTCCATGGAAAGCAAACATTTAACTTGTCATACAATTCAAACTCCACTCTTTTATGAGGGCCTGGTGAAATTCCATCACTCTGTTGATTACACAATTACTTGGAAGTCCAAGTAGAAACCATTTTTTCAGAGCCAAAACCAAAAGTGGAAACAAACGTTACCTCTTCTGAACAAGTGTAAGACTTTACTATTTCAGTCACTGTCTCCTGTTAGCTTAAAATTATTATTTCCAGTAAGACATAAAGTGTATTTTGTTTCACTCTATTGATTGAAATTACAGTTTAAACTAAGGGAACCTACTCCTGTGGGTTTGCTAGAAATGCTTCCTAAAACCACATGGTCTTAAAGGAGATTTAGAGGATGTGACTGGTTCCTGAAATGCTTCCAACATGGACATAAATGGTTTCAGTTATAAATCATAAAAATATGCTAAAGTGAAAAATTCATGCTAAATTAAGGAGCATTACCTGATTTCTTAACAAATCATTGAAAAATATCCTGTTTACAAAATAGAGTTACTTATAAGCTTGTTGTAATCAGCAGACTCCTGTGTTTTCAATTAGAAAATTTCATCAATCAAAATTCACCAAGCTTCTGGTCCTAGAAAGAAACTGGTACTTAATGACAAGGTAGAAATTAGAATGAAACTTAATGCTGTTGAGAATTCCATCCAATAATTCATGGGTGCTGCTGTACATTTCATTTTAAAATATGCTTACTTTTCCTACTGCATCATAGAGTTAGTAAATTAAGACCAAGATTAGTACCAAATGTTTCTGGTTTTCTCATTTTATTTGGCTCATTAAAAAATGGCATTTTTGCAAATTCCAGCAATTAAATGGAATCTTCACTTAACCATGCTGGATTTTAAATGATGTTGTCCCTTGCAACTCTAAAATTCTATTCTGTATAATATAATGGGGGTCATCACAATAATGGTCATTAAATTATAAAAGAGGCATCTGTGAGCATGAATTCACATTTACGTGTTTTCTAGTACAACCATTGCCATAGTGATATGATTCTTAGCTATTTGAGGGGAAGTTTCTGGTAATTTCAAAAGTTTGTTTAGGGGGAAAGTGTCCGAATTAAGACTGGTTTATATATATAATTGCAAGTAAATTTATAATATAAAAAAGTTTTTTTTTCAATTTAGACTAATGTGAGAAAGTTTCATTTTGTATAGTGTCTTCCATTAAAAAAACAAACTTCTGTCCAATTATGAAAATACTACATTTACATTTTCTGAAATTTATACTGTTTTATGGACATCTCTAGTTTTAGGCTTACCATCTTCTAAACAATAGAGGTTATCATCACCAATTCCAAACGATGATCTCACTTTTGCTGAAGAGGATCTTTATTTAAAAGTCTTTCTAAAATGTATATTATAGTGATTGAGCATGGAACATACCCTGAATTGGTTTGGAATTGAATGGAAATGTACAAGAATGTCACCCATGGCAAAATTAAACAGAAAAAAAAACAAAGAAACAAAAAAAAAATAACTTTAAACTTTTTATTTCCATAGTGTGCCAGCAAGGTGAATGGAGGAAAATATGGCACTACCAAGGATTACCCCGATGATGCAATCCGGTTTGCCAGAAGTCACCCACTAATGCATCAGCCTGTGAAACCTGTTCATAAGAGGCCAATCCTGGTAAAAACAGATGGAAAATATAACCTGAAACAGATAGCAGTTGATCGAGTTGAAGCTGAAGATGGACAATATGATGTCTTATTTATTGGCACAGGTAAAAAAAAATGCATTCAATGTAGGCCTTTAAACTATTGTTTTAAAGATAATTTAATAACAAAAATGACAAAAGAGGGGTCATTCCTTGGCACTCTTTTTGCAAATCATTTCATCTGTTCCTTACCACTACAAAACAATGATAACCAAAGTGCTTAACATGTGCCAGGCACTGTGCTATTTCATTTGAATTTCACAACAACATTGGGAGAAAGGTGTTGTTATTATCCTCATTTTATAGTTGAAGAAACTGGGGCTGATAGAGGTTAAATGACTTATCATCCAGAGTCACGCAGATAGTAAGTATCTGAGATCTGATTTGAAGTCAGGTCTTCCTGATTCCAAGCCTAACAGTCTATCCCCTGCACAATGCCACTTGCCTCAGTGAATGGAAAATGAGGGGAGGAGGAAGTTCACTGTGACAGGGCAGAGGATTGGGGGCAGGGAGGAAGGGGGCACCTATCAGACCTAGATGAACAGTGTCAGTTCCAAATAACATTTCAGCCAGTTATTGCAATGTGGTATCAGAATCAGGAATATGGCATCTTCGGCCAGATCCCGCAAGACAGCTGAGGTGTTTGGCTGGTTAGTGAATTTTCAGAAACTTGGACAAATCCCATTAAGGGAAAGTGATTGACTTGATCCTAAGACCACCAAGACCCTTGCCAGAGAAGGAAGAGCCTCTAGAACCAATCTTCTCATGTGCTACCCAGGATATTTCCAAATTGGTGTTCACAATTTCAGAGAAGAATAGGATTGCAGAACCAGGTCAGAAACAGAAGATAAAAAAATAAAAAGCTTTTGTGTTTGTCTCACCTAATCAAGTACCTGACCTGGAGTAGTTTCTTAATGAATGTTTACTGAATTAAATTGAATGATCTCAGAAAATAAGAAGAGTGAGGTGAGGCTGTGCTTTAAAAGCACTGAGGGAAACATCTAACAACTGACTCTCCAGAAAAAAAAAAGTACCTGCATGATACACTTTTAAATTTAATCAGCTTTATTAATGTTTTTCTATCATCTTCCTAAACTTAGACAATCAGCAAACAATAAATCAAGCCCTCATTTGCAGCATTGCTGATTTATGAGTTATAAATGCTCATACTGCAAATGAGCTGACTCTAGCACAGCACCTAGATATTTCCCTGGCCCATGCATGCATGTGGCCTGCTGCTCCTCCCTTATCACCCACAATGTGATTTGAAGGCACTTGGACTATGTTATTAGTTTGTAGAACTGAATAAAACTGTTAGAGACATATTTGTAAATCTCGACTTTCCCCTTGTCTCCACCAAGAGTGACGTGCATTTTAAATTCCTCTGTTATAAATGTGTTTATTTGATATGATACAAAATTACTTTGTTTCTTCCAGAATTCACACATATACTTTTGTATAAATGACAATGAAGACAGGTCTTCATACTTTTTCTAGTATAAACTAAGCTAAGAATTTCACTAGTTAACACTAATAGGGTAGTTTTTTGTGTATCACACTATGATTTTTGGAAAATAAAGACATGTTCAAATTGAGAATGACATGGATCGAGGAATTCATCAAGTGTCCAGTGAATATGATAATGGATAAACACACTTTTACATCTCAGTGAAGTGTTTTGTGTTACTTATCTCTCTAGTACTATAGTAAAATAATTACTACACTAGATAATCATTGTAAGTCAGTATCTTCCCTGCCATGTGTTTAATCATTCAAACACAGAGACTTGAAGGAATGAAGACATTGATATGTAACCAAAGTATAGTTTGGCATTTCAAATGAAGGTCATGCATTCCGGTAATATTTATTTTAAGGAAGAAAATGGGACAATACTCCATCTGATTTCCAGGAGTTGGCATCTGGCAACAGTTCTATTGGTATCTGTCTCATTTTTTTTTTTGTTGTGTGCAGTAAATGTTGATATGTTTAGTGTTGTGTATGGAGTGCTAAAAGAAATATATTAGATTTCTATAACACATAAAAATGTAGTTGCCCAGTAGCATCCTTTTAGGGTACTAATAAGGTAAGACTGTTAACTGTTATACTAACAAGTTAAATAGTTGATAAAGCAGTTATTAGTGGAAAAAAGCTGGAACAAACAGTATGTTAAGAAATAAAAGAATGTGGGTACATTAGCAACAGGACAGGCCAAGAATAATTTCATCAATGAATCTGTTAACTTAAATTTATCTGTGTACATGTCCTTTCCTTATTATTAGGTTATAAATACCTGAAAAACAGGGATTCCATTTTTGTGCCCCCCAAAACCTAGCATGGTATCATGTATAGAGAAAGTATTTTATAAGTTAATATTAAACTTAACTAAATATCTTATTTTATTTCAGTACTTAAAGAGATTCATTCATCTTCCTAAGTTTCTTAACATGGAAAATTTCTTCAAGTTATCTATTCTTCAAGGAAAAAGTCAGCACAAAATAGGCTTTAACTTATGAGTTATAAAAGAAGTGCCCATTACCTTTTCATAAGGTACAATTTATTAACTAGGGTTATATTAGGACTGAATTCCAGTTCCTGTTTATTCTTTGCAATTAACCATTAAAGTTTGGACCCAGTACCTGGAAAATTCATCAAATAATTTGCATTGAAATACTATTGACTTTCTTATTGATTCATGTGGTTTATAATATTATTTGATTTAATTCTTATATTTTAATGAACTTTGGCTGTGGCATATGTGAAAATGTTAATAATAATTGTTTATTATATAATCTCTAGGTTCTTTTTCTTAATGGTAAAATATTTCAAATATAAACATTTCACACAAAGTAACTTTGCCAACAACATTTCAATGAAGTATAATTCTTATCAAAAGTAGAAATAAAGGAAAGTCATAGTATGAGTACGTCAAAATTCAACATGAACTTTAGAGGAATATTATGAAGAAAGTTCAAAGAACAAAGATAAAATTGGGAATAGGCACTTTGAAAGTATATTTGTAAGGGAGAATTTATTATAAGAACCTAGACTTCAGAGAGGGATATTTAACTGTTTTAAAAATACTCCTTTTTAAAAATGTCTTGAGAGTATATCTTCAGCATATATTTCTTTCCATTGTTTAGGAAAAGACATTACCTTTTAAAAATTCTTTACAAGTAAACTTTCCCCTAAACTGTATAGCAGTTTTGAAAGATTTTAATGGAAAAACATTCAGATGACACCAAAGTAGAAGTATATAGGAAAAACTGGGGAAGTGAAGTATTTTAGCTTTTGTGTAGTGACTGTGAGTCATGGAACACAATGGTGTCCCAAGAATTAAGATTGGAAATTAACCAAAGAGCAATGAAGAAAAACTTGGTGGATATGAAAAGGTTACAATACATTTCAAAAAAGGAATTATGAAAAAGAAGCAGAGTAAAGTATTATTCAAAAATGCATATGCAAAAAGGAGATGAGTTAGTCACGTGATGTGAATAAAGGACCATTTATGAATAGTCTGTGTCCTCCTTTGATGTCCTTGGGATGTAAATATGATCAAGGAAACTCTCCCTGAGTGAGCGCCCTGTGGGGAACTTTCAGGGGAAGTTACAGAGGAGAATGTTATTATGAATCAGCTAGAATCTAGTGTTATTTGTGTCTTTGGAAGGAACACACCCATTGGCAATATCCCAGATCGTCACTAATTCAATAAATCATTTGAACATTTGAGTTTAATGGAAAGAGCGCTGGATTTTAAGGAACGGGGTTCTGGCACCAACTCTGATACTTCTTCACTACCAAGTGGCTTGAAGGGGCTGATTTTAATGAACAGTGAACTCACCAATTTCATTTTTTGAAAAGATGTGTACAGACAATCTAAGCATGAGCAAGGAACAGTGGGTAAATGTGAGTGTGATGTTACTGAGTAAAAATAGTGTCAAGAGTGTGAATGCTCAGATGAACTGAGGCTAGAGAGGGAAGCTAAGGGGGAAAAATGTGTGTGTGTGTGTGTGTGTTGAAGCTAGACTGGGGAGAAAGTGAATCATCTTCATTTCTGCAGATAAGTGAGATATGACAAACAAGAAAACGCAGAGCCGCTCAATTCTTATTTTGCTTCTGTTTCTTCTGCCAAGGAAAAGAAACTTTGTGCTGGAAATTACAGAATAAAAATGTCTAATGGGGATTTCATAATCAAAATAAGCAAGAAGATAATAATGAGATCACTGAGATACCATTTGTGAATTTAAATTACCTGACCCACGTGATTTACCATCTTTATGAATTGGGCTAGCAGATGCAATTGCTAAGGCATAATCAATGCTTTTTGAAAGGTCATGGAAAATCAGAGAGGCACCTCAGGATTAAGGAAGGTCAGTTGAGAGAGAGAGAGAGAGAGAGAGAGAGAGAGAGAGAGAGAGAGAATAGAGATGACAAACTCTAGGCAAGTGAACTTAGTTTCAATTACTGGGAAAATTCTAGAATGGATTGTTAAAAGATGGTTAGTAATCATCTAGCAAAAGAAGAGGTGATTTTAAAGAACACACATGACTTCATCAAGGATTGATCATGCCAGACTAACATTTTTCTTGCTGTTTTTTTTTTGATAGAATTACTAAACTAGTAGATCAGGGAAACGTGTAGATATAGTTTGCCTAGATTTTAGGAAAACATTTCATAAAGCCTTTCAAACTAATCTTGTGGAAAAGTTGGAGAGATGTGAACCAGATGGAAAAAACCTAGTTAAATGACCAGCCTCAAACAGTAGTTGCCGTTGCCTCAAATGGCAGGAGTTGTCTTGTGGTATACACTGGTAATCTGTTCTTGGCCCTCTTTTTAGCATTTTCATTAATAACTTACATAAAAATGTAGAAATCATCCTTGCAAAGTTTGGAGAAGACATAAAATTGAGGATAGAATTCCAAAATATGTTGATCTGCTGAATCTTAATATGATTAAATTAAATGGTGAGATATGCAAAGTCATACATTTGCATTCTGCAAATCAATTTCATTTGTACAGGATACTAATAATAATAACAATATATAGCATTCACTTTGTTCTAGGCACGGTGCTAAGCACTTTACAGCTATTGTTTCATTTAATCCTCACAACAACCCTGGAAGGTACGTGTTATTATTGTCCCCATTTTACAGATGAGTAGACTGAGGCAAATAGCATTTAAGTGGCTTGCCAAGGGTCACACAGCTAGTAAGTATCTGGGGCTGGATTTGAGCACAGGCCTTTCTGACTCTAGTCCTAGCACTATATCCACTGCCCTACCAATGGCTTGCAATTCCAGTATGAATCAGCAGTACAATATGGCAGCCAAAAAAGTTAATTTAGTCTTGGGTTGTATTAAGAAAGGTATGACTTCCAGGAACAAGGAGGCTATAGTCCCTCTGTATGCTGCCCTATGGAAGCTACTTGAATGATATTGGTAAACTAGAGAGTATCCAGAGGAAGGAAAGTAGGATGATGAAAGACCTTGAATCCATGTCATCTTTGAAATGGTTGAAGGAAGTGGAAGCATGAAATCTGTCTTCAAGTGTTTGAAAGGCTGTTATATGGGAGAGAGTTTAGATTTGTAAGGTCAATTTGTCTTGATGTCAGAAAAAACTTTTTAACAATTAAAACCATCCAAAAGGCTTACCCCAGGAGGTGGAAGGTTTTCCCTCATTGGAGATCTTCTAGCAGAGGCTGGATCTCACTTTGGGGATGTTCTATAGTATAAATTATTTTTCGTATGGATTAGAGGGACAGCCACTGATCACTTCCTGTGATTCTGTGATTAGCCTACTTAAATCTTAGTTTACTCATCTGTAAAATGTAGGTAACAATACTTGAACAACTGCCTCATGGGATATTATAAGCAATGTACTTTGCAAAGCCTAACGCATTATATGAACGTATGTTATTACTATCATCTAAAATAACAAGATTTTTGTTATCAGTATCATTATTATTACTGCAGTGTATCTGTGATGCCATAGAGCAGCCCTTTATCATTGCTCTACTTTCACATAGTGGAAACAAACAGGCTGTAATAAATTAACTTTTTAAAATTAAGGTTTTTTTTAAATTTAATGAATATTTATTTCTTCCACCTTCCCAATGCTTCTCACCAATGAAAAGAATAAAAAGAAAAAAAAAGAAAACCCATTCAACAAAACAAATGAAACAAATTCCCACATTGACCATGTCCAAAAATGTGTGCTATGTTCTACATATTGATTTCTTCAATATAAACTTCACTGTCAGGAGGTGAATAGCACTCTGCATCTGGCTGTTCCATCATGGTTGATCAGAATTCTCAAATCTTTCATAGTTGCTCTTTTTTTTTTTTACAATGTTGTTAGTGTGAAAATTATTTGGCTGGTTCTGTTCATTTCCTCCCTGCAGTATATTTCCAATGATGAACATATATGAAAAAAGTGGAATGAGGCAGATTATCAAGGAAATATATTATTGTTATCATTATCATCAACTTTTTTGTTATTTATTAGCCTATATCAGAAATTCTAGCCCATGTCAATTTTATTTTATATTCAAGATATAATGTGTTGATATATGTTATATTAGTGACCTAGTAGGGTTATGAATAATCTGCAAATAGAAAATCCAGGTAAAAATTAGACTACTTTGGAATGTGCCTTTCATTATTATGTATTGATAAGATTAGGACACAGCCAGATAATAATTAAGTTCTTTTGGTTAACAAATCAATAATTCATGACAAATAATTTGACTATGTATTTCCTAGTAAATGTCATTTATATATATATATATGTATATATATATTATATATATGTCCACATATACATATGTGTGTAAATAGAATAACACAATTGAGTTCTGTGTGTTTTTTTTTCTTTTGACAGTATTAGACAAGAATCGGGGTAAAATGTGCTACAAATAGGAGGTTGTAAAGGATTGTTAGCACTTAAAATCTTTTTTCTAAAAATAATCATTTTGCTTTTATTTATCTGAAAAAATTGTCACATAACTTATAGATTCTTCTTGCTCTCCCTTCCTTTTCTAGATAGTGGCATTGTGCTAAAAGTAATCACAATTTACAACCAGGAAACAGAATCAATGGAAGAAGTAATTCTGGAAGAACTACAAGTATTCAAAGTATGTATGGGTGGCAGCAACTGTTTCAAATCAACAAATAATTAAACAGGTTAATATATTCCTAGAAATCTAGTCACAGTATCAATTTGTCCTAAATTATGTATTGTGAGTTTCAAAAGAACTTTAAGCTAGAAAGTACTAAAAATCCAGATATGATCTTTTGTTCTTGAAATATTTTATTCAAATAAGGAAGGCAGTATTTTTCCAACACCTATATATTTTTAACATATTCTATAAGAACAAAAAATGATTCCTATTTCCTAAACCATCAGGAAACTATTCCCAGTATTTTCTGGTTATAATTTGTAAAAAATAGTATCAATTTGGGCAATTATTTTGGAAATAAATATTTTAACTAAAAAAAAAAATCTTGACAAATACTAAAGGTAAAATACATTAGTTTCCTTTAGAATATCTTTATCGTCTGGTCATTCTACCTTTGTCTCTCATCTCTATCCTTTCTTTTCTCTTCTACCCCACCATAGGATTCTCTATGACTGCTACCTCTCAGGTTGCTTAGTGTTTTCAAAGGGTTTCTGCTCACCATTTAAAAAAAATACATGAGTAGAGACCCTTAATGATAAAAATGTGTGAAAATATAAGATGACTCAAAAGTCTTAATGCAATTTTAGGCTGTTAAAGCTTATTTGAAGTTAGGTTTAAAAAAGTTATTAAAACTTAGAACTTCTCTCAGATTTTTAGACCATTCTCTAATTTCCTCGATGTGAAATAATACATTTTCTATTTCCTTTCTATTTATTGTAACATTTTATTTTCTTCCTAATTCTATTCTAAAAACATCTATTTTCTCTATCTTAGAAAATATTTTATAAGGAAATGAGCTGGTGTATGTGAGCATAAATAGCTAGGCCATAACATCTATGTTCATTCTTTTTTTTTTTTAAGCCTTGTCTCAAAATGCCTTTTCCTTTAAAATATTTTCAGATAAAAATTTGAATTTTAGGGAAGCAACACCTTTTCTAACTTCTTTCTGTAGACAGATAATATTAGTTGTTGAGAGTGGGCAGATATAGACTGGCAGATTTTTGGTCAACCATTTGGAAATGCTTCCTATATTATTCATTCATCTATAAAATATGAATGTGGTACAATAGATTGAGAATGATTGCCTGAATGAGGCAGAAAGCCCAGTTCCTCCACTTCTACCTCAACAAAAACTTTACAATGGCTCCTAAGTGAATAATAAGCAAATAATAATCAAGAATTTAAACAAGTTCATGCAATGACTTCTTCCCTAGAATTGCACAAAAGATGAGCTAGAAGCCCACTGGCAACAAGAGGCTAGCCAACATCCTGCTCAAAAGAGAAGGTAGCCCGCCAGCCCCGAAGACACTGGCCATATGTGTATCATTTCACTGTCTATAGACAGCAAGAGTAGAGGGCTAAAACTAAATAGAAGATAGTATGGTAACTTCGAAAGAGCACTCCTTCTGGAGTCAGATGACCTGGGTTCAAATTTTATTCACAGTGCTACTTCTATGATCTTGGGCAACTTCACCTCAGTTTATTAACTGTTAATTGAGAGGATTAGATTAGATTACCTCCAAGATCCCTTCCTGCTCTAAATTTATAACTAATCAGGCTGATTAAATTATCTACTGCTTTGTTTAACAAAGCTTACATTTATACAGTGGTTTGGGAGAAAAAAATTATTACTATTCTTTCCTTTAAACTTATTTATTTAAAAGATTTATTTTAAAAAATTGTGATCATCTTTTCTCTTTCAGGTTCCAGTTCCTATCATTTCTATGGAAATTTCTTCAAAAAGAGTAAGTATTTTTTCACTGTGGTTTAATTACCATGAAATGATATATTACATAATTGATTGATATCAAATGTACATGTGTGTGATAATATAGCCCTGTGCAATGGAACAAGTTACAGTTTTATTTTATTAAAAAAAGACATGTAATTTAACTTTTACTAGATTTCTTTGTCTGGAATGTCCAGCAGAGGAATCTCTTCACTGGGAGTTCCCTAGATTAATGAAATTACAAGTCAGTACAAGAAAAAGAATAAAGGGCAATGGAAGTCAGCTTGCTGTCTACAATCATTGCATTGCTTAGTTTCCTCAAGATCTTTAAAAGGACATTTGTAATTTTCTTCGATTATAGCAAAATCCTATCTAGACATAGGATGATAAAAGGATCATTTATTGCATTTTCATCTACTTCTCTGATTTTTAATAGTTTTGATTCCCCTATCTTTAAGGCTATGGAATCATTTTATAATTTTGTGAAGTGAAATGTTGCCGTTCTTCATGTTTTGCTGACATAAGCACTAATGTCTCTTCCTACTCTGTTTAGAATTAGGAGTCAATATCCATCTCAAATTAAAAGGTTTAGGAGGAGAGAGGGAGTGCAGTATCATTAGTGGTTGGAAAGTGTTCCAATGGAAATCCATGCTGTCAGGAGTATTTAGACATGGGTCTCTGTGTTGTAGGTTAGTTGCAACTGCTCATTTTTGTCATTGGAAGTTCTTTTCTTTGATTTCTACAGCAACAGTTGTACATTGGATCTCAATCTGCAGTGGCCCAAATCCGATTCCATCAGTGTGACATGTATGGCACAGCTTGTGCTGATTGCTGCCTAGCAAGAGACCCATACTGTGCATGGGATGGTATATCCTGTTCCCGCTACTACCCAACAGGAACACATGCAAAAAGGTAAAAATGGTGGCTTCTCAATAACATATTTTGACATATGCCAGAATTATTTATATGTAGAACTTTGCTTCTCTAGAGAAATGGTCACTAAAAGCTTATCTTCTTTAGTGAAATAATATTAAAATCAATCAAGGGAGGATCAATGAAAGCATCTAGAGCTATGCAAACCAAAAACAATTCATTAATTTTCTTTAATTTACCTTTCAATGTGTTATGTCTAGTTAAATACTGTCATTGAGATGTTGAGACTCTAGACATGCTAAAACATACATACACATATGTATATATATACATATACACATATAGATTAGATAGATAGATAGATAGATAGATAGATAGATAGATAGATAGATAGATATAGATATAGATAGATAGATAGATTTGGAGTGAGAGGATCTGGATTTGAATTCCATCTTTCCATCTCTGTTGCTTACTGCTTGTGTGATTTGGGATAAGTTACATCTCTTCCCCAGGTCTCATTTTCCTTATATGTTAAAATTAAGAGACTGCACTAAATCTTATGATCCTAATGGGCTTCTGTTGGCCTTTTAATTTATCAAACATGAAAGGCATGAAACAAATCTGTATACATGTGAACATGTGTATATATAAATGTGCATACATGTGTGTCTATACAAGGATTAAATATATAGACATATATATATCTCTCTGTGTATGTGTGTGTGTGTAGAGAGAGAGAGAGAAGAATTAGAGACCTGGGCTACATGTATAGCCTAGATCTTTCATTGAATCTTCAATTTTATGTGTATATATATATATATATATATATATATATGTGTGTGTGTGTGTGTGTGTGTGTATAATATACATATAGTATATATACATGTGTATATGTATGTATAATATCCAGATCTCTAATTTCCTTTGTTTGAGAAACTTTTGATATAGAAATTGAATCTAGTGGTATCAGTCTCTAATTTAGATATAGTCTTACAGAGCTTCTTGGTTTCTGTGAAGTTTCATATGTTAGATGAAACACTTGATATCGGATCTTACTGACTCTAAAGCAATGCCTTTTATCCACTATACTCTGTGGCCTCTTATAAACTATTTCACCACTTTATTAATCACATTCTTATTTTCCTATCTCTATAGAAAGTCATTAAATTATTTTAAAAATTTACATAGAAAAGATAACCAAGATTGGAAAAAAGGACATGTGTATCACCAGGGAATATGTAATACAAAAGATTTTGTAAGTGAAAAAAAAAGAGGCAGAATGGCATTGCATGGAGGCGATTAGATGGCACAGTGAATAAAGCTCTGGGCCTGGAGTCCAGAAGCTCTGAATTCAAATTTGGCCTCAGATACTTACTAGCTGTGTGACCTTGGGCAAGTCACACACTTTATATTTGTCTCAGTTCCTCATGTGTAAAATGGTGACACTCTGGTGAAGGAAATGGCAAACCATTCTGATCTCTTTGCCAAGAAAACCCCATAGACAAAGTCCATGAAGTCTTGTAGAGTTGGAAACAACTGAACAACAACAACAACAACAATGACATTACATAGTCTATACAATACTAGCCTTTTGGAGCCAAGAAGACTAGGTCTTCCTTCATGTTTCCTTACTAACGCTTAATAGTTGTGTGATCATGTGCCTCTAGCAACTTTCTAGGATTTAACTACTAAGTCACGAAAGAATTGGTCTATACATACACAATGGGAGAACTCTATGTTGATGAAATCAGAAAATTACTTTTCTAAAGTAATAAAAATGTGAAAAGATTAAGTTATTTAAGATATGGTCCTACCGTGAGGACCAGAAAGAATGACTATTCATTGCTAGCTCCAGAGTTGTATTCACATATTAAAATCACAAAAAGATTTTACAAGGTTTGCATTATTGGAAGAATATGTTTTTCCTATTCTTAAAAGCATATGGAAAGCAATAATGATCATTAATTTTATATGGATAAAGTTATATATATCTATAGATAGAACTAGATAATTATATGTATGTGTATATAGATTAATTATATATAAGTTCATGAACTCTCAGTACCCATCACTGTGTTAAAAAAAAGATAGTATCTGTCTCCATTCCATCCCCACCCCCAACCTTTCCTCTTGCTATTTGTTCCTGTCTTCTTATAGCAGTAGAAGCTGGAGAGCCTCAAACTAAGTCAGTCCTAATTGCAACCAGAAGAAATTAATTCTTTTAATTTATGAGATGACATTGGGGAGGCAAGAAAATGAGTAAAATTTAAAAGCCTTTTAGATAAGACATGAAGTGAATGTTATTCACAAGCAGGATAGTAAATGATTTTTTTAAGGGAGAAAAATCCTTCAAGATTCCAGGAGGACAGTTTGTACTTGTGAGAAAAAAAAATCAAGATAAACTCTGTTGAGAACTCACGAAACCAATTTATGGATGATGTCTCTCAAATGTGGCCTGGTGATAGTGGCAAACAGTTTGCCCGCCAACTTGATTATATGTGTTATCTATGAAAATAATAAAATTATATCAAAATAATGGATAGCTATAGTTATGTGTTCGTAGAATACATATTAAGCCAATCACTTCCTAAATTACTCATTACATGAAACAGGCATTGTATCAATGAGTAAATAAAGCTGTCTGGATAAGAAGTTATGAGGATTCTGTATATAAGCAGGCACATATGAGTTTTTTGAAGAAAATTGGTGTCAGGGAACTTAGTATCGTATCAGAACTTCCAGCACTTAATAGATGTGTAACCATAAGCAAGCCATTGTCACACATCTAGTAAGTGCTGGAGGTTCAGATATGAGACTAGGTCTTCCTGACTCCAGGCCACACTCATTGCTGAGTGAGCAATATTCTGAATGAGTAAAGAAGTCTGACATTGATTATTTAAACTTTCACAGAGTAGCCTTATGTGGAAAGGTGCTGCAAAACAATTTAATTAAATGTGCTGTTTGTGGAAGTTTTCAAACTTTACCCTTTACCTGGAAATCAAAAGCACCAAATGGCCTATACAGAAATTCCAACTGAAACAGATGTATCCACTTTTTCCACCCTGCCTTAGATCAACTGCTGCTTGTCTTAGAAATCCATGCCTGGAAGGCATGAAAAGTGTTTAGATAAACATGAAATGGGGAAATGGCAAGCTACTACACATGAGGGATTCAGAGATTTAAGAGAAAAAAAATAAATTCTAAAATAAATCCTGCATTTGCCACATGTCCTCTGTGCCAGCTGCTTCTAATCTGTTTCATTTGAAAGTGAATATTTTAACTCCTAGGCAAATGCATGACCTATGTAATTAATGAAACGTGTGACTTAATTCAGTACACATGAAAGACAGAGAGAAATCCTTTCCCTACCCCCACCCAACTCCAGTGACTGCAGTTCTGCATAGGTCATTGCCATTTTGGTGACAGAAGAAGAATCCCTAAGTTCTTTCAACAGGAATATATTTGAAAGCTGGGATTTCTCAAGGAGCCAAGGTATTTCTTTACTTAGTTCCTATGAAGTTATCTGAATTTCAAAAAAAATAGAAAACAATGCATTTTCTAGATAAAATGACTAAAAACAAGATAAAGCAAAGATATAAAGTGAGAAACAGTGGGTCATAGGTTCACTTACTTGTTTCTCCTTTTTACTTAATAGTTATTAATGTCTCTTACTTTTCTATTGCCTACATTTCCTCTGTAGCCCTCTTCTTGCTCCCTCCCAGAGAGCCATCCCATATAACAAAGTGATGTTATTTTTTTTAAATGAGGAAAAAGAGAAAATAAGCAAAACCAATAAATTCATTAAAACATCTGACAATATGCATAATATTACATAATGGTGGACTCCCTAACTCTGCAAATTCAGATAGACTTTAAGACCATAGATCAAGAACCAGAAGGGACTTCAAAAGTCATCTCTTCCTTCTCCCTTATTTTATGGGTGAAGAATCTGATGCTAAAAATGGTAAAATGACTTGCTCCTGCTCACATAGGTAGTAACCATTAGAAGTGGGAAAGTAAACACAAGTCCTCTCGTTCTGTGGCTAGACAGTGCTTTATTCACTCAGCAACACTACCTCCCTTCTCCTAAGTGGTCTAAATAAATTATCACTGGTTGATTGTAGGATAGTAGTATGTAGTGTATATTTACATTATGCACACACACATAGTGTATTTTGCAGTGTATTCATCTAGTATGCCTATGAGAATTGTTGATAATAATTATCTGCTTTGGTGGAATAGTCAGATTGAATAATTGATTAGTTCAAGGAAATAATATATTTTGGGATATGGTCCATTATAGAAGAAAGAACAGAAAAGGACTGAGAAAAAAAGGAACAAAGAGGCCAGTGAAGATTTGCTTAGTGAAAGTTAAGTGTGTAGGATGAGGAATATGAGGGAATGTGAGAAGTGAAGGGATATGGGTGAAGGTCTTATTCATTAACTTTACCAATTTTAGTTCCATAAAGTAGTAATGGAGATCTGTCAAATGGCTTCAGATTTTGTGAGCCATTACCTACCCCTAGAGGATAAGTTCCAACACATGAAGGGAAAATTGTTTGCTTTTATAACAGATCATTTTTACTGAAGACCTGGCTAGAAGCAGAAATTGAAAACTGACTATTAAAATAAATAGTTCTCTGTTCTCAGAGTGAAAATGACCCAACAGGGGAAAAATTAATATACAACAAAAATCACTGCATTCTTTCAAAATATAGCAAACTCCCTCTTTCGTGCTTTTATATTTTATCTATCCTTAGTCCTCTTTGATCATGTTTCCAAATGGGAACATATTTAAAATTTATCTAACCCCCAATACCAAAGCATTATTTAAAATTGTTGTAATGAATTATTATTTATGAGATTACATAATGCATTACAACTCTATGAGAGAGATCTTTATTTTAACCTCCCCAAAAATATTAAAACAAAATATGTGGGCTTATTATTAATTTATGTCCTCATTTTACATCTTTAGAGTTGTTAATTCCTTGACTACAATTTGTCCCCCCCCTCAATTCTTGCTTCATACATTTTTTTTTTCAGGGATCTGTAATTTGATTGCTATGGTCCCTCTCTCTCACAATACATATTTTCAATTTTGTAAATCCTCTATAATTTAATTGATCTCTCCCAGTTGCTATGGCTGAAATAGTCATCACCGTATGTGTCACATGGTGATGAGTCTCTCCAAATTTTATCAGACATATAGTCCATCAAATGGTCTATACTCAAAACCTTTTCTGCATGGTAGAACCTGCTAGAACTTATCTTTGAATACCATAGCATTAGATAACTGAGTCATTTCCATGTCACAGTGAAGCTTCAAAGTAACACATTACTGGAGGCCCTCATCTCTTGTCTTAACAAATTTTACACACCAGCGTCCCCTGTAATGCCAATTTCTTTGACTTTTTCATTTATCTCACTACTTCTCTCAGGAGGACTTTGTTTTGATACCTTAAACAACAAACAGTAAAGGGAAAAAATACTGAGTTAGAACTGCTTCATAGTGCTTTATATTTGCTTGATTGTATTTCAGTTCTAGAATACTTTTATAGTATATGTGAACATGAAATAATATGAAGGGGATAGAATTTGTCTTTTTCTTTAAGTTCTAAGTCTTCAGACCACTGTAATATTACTTTTCCATTATTCATTGTGCCAAGATTCCAACTGAATTTATTATAATCTCAGTCTTTTAGTCTTTTATCCCTAGATAGCAGTTGATATGTGAGTCCCTCCACCAATCATATGTAAACATAAACACCTATCTAGCCTAGCTTCACATAGGCACATTCATACATCTATTGACTAAAATAAGATTTGAAGCCATCCTTGAAGAATAATTTGTCTATTAGATTTGCTTTAATTCTCATGATTTTCCAATTATGGTATATAGTTTTCATTCAGTTCAGGAACAGGTTTCATTTAGCTACTATGTGCAAAGAAAGCCCTGTGTGGAATGTATAAATAAACAAGAATGCAGCCTTGCCCTCAGGGTACTTACATTTAAGAGGAGACATAAAATTTATACCATGATATTTAAAAACGAACCCAATTTTTAGACACACTATCATAGTAGCTCACCACTATTTTTAGTTTTAGAATTTTAAATTATAGTATCCTTCAATTTAACTAGTTTCTTTTAATGACTACCTTCCTGCATTTTTGCTTTGTTGAAAGATTTGCACTTACTTTATAGAAGCAAATTTTAATTCTTTGTAGACTACAGTATTGTGACTCCTAAGCTTACAATATCTTGAGAAAAATAGTCTGAAACTCCAATTCTCTAATGAATCAGGGACCTAATTTGAGCCCTCCCTTTAATGATACAGATTGTAACTCACCCATACCTGCCAATCTCATGTGACCTTTGTTCATGTATCCCCATAAAGAATCACCAGAAAAAAAGATTGCTATAATTATGGACCTTTCTTTCAAGGAGATGCTTAAGTTCATTAAAAACAACTCATTAATTTCTCATCATTTTCCAAAGGCAACCCAGAACTCTTGTCTTCCTCCCATTCAGTTCAGGCCCCACTCGGAATTCCTCTGTAGTCTCTCTAAAATCTATTCGGATGGGCCACATTAAATTATAAGATGTTGAACACTTCACAAATCTTATTTATTGTAATTTTTTGTTTATTGTTATTGTTGTTTGGGAAATAGGTAACCTTCATGCATTTGGTACTTTAAAGTTAGGCTATACTCTTTTAAGGAATTAAGGTTAAGTCTCACTAGAAGGGCAATGGAAAGGTAGGTGTGAATAGGCTAAAACACATTATTAATAAAAATAGTGAAGTAAATAATAAATGATAGAATCAGAGAGGAGTAGGACCAAAAAAGGAGATGGACTTGTCATTTACAAAAAGGAGGAAATAACCAATTATACAGTCTGCATGTTCCATTGATTTTCATACTTTGTCACTATATAGAAGGTCCCCAGCACATTGTAGAGGATTTGTAGTATAACATGGACAAAACAGAGTAAGGAGCTTTGCTACCTTCACTGATGGAAGGAGAACCTATATAAATGAGATCACAGATCCATCAAAGTATTGAAGTTGGAGAGAAAATCTGTTCCCCTTCTGCATTTTTATTCTAGTCTGTGAAAGTATTTAATTTACTAGTTTTTAACATAAATGATAATGATTTGCCAAGAGGTATGACATATCAGAAAGGTATGACATTCTTGGTCCAGACCTTTGAGTCCACCCCTCCCAATGTAGAAACTCCTTCCACAAACACAGAATAGCAACAAATTTGTAACTTTTCTTAGAGAGCTGCCTATGGCACCAAGAGGTTAAGAGTCTTACTTAGAGCCATATAGCTAATTTGTCAGCAGTAACTCTTAATCCCATCTTAATGACTCCAAGGATTGCCCCCTATCCACTACACAACACTGCCTGTCTTGTCAGAAGGGTATCTATGAAAGAAAATATTGGTTAATAATTTTTTAAATTACCTTCTAATATTATTTTTATATTATTTCAGTGAATATTCTATAATATGTCTGCAATAAAACCTGAAAATAGGAATTCTAAACAAAGGTATATAATTAATTCTCAACTACTAAATGTGATAAAATAATGTTATATTGATATTACTCTTCCTTAACAACCTTATTTATGCTGATTTATCTTGGTAGAGAACAAAATGTTCAGATAAAATACATTTTTTAATGAAATGTACTTTATTACTTTTAGGAACTTTATGAATGTTTTCATTTCAAATAAATATGATTCTTTCACCCCTACCATCCCTACCCATACATGTCTATTATCACTCTGAATGTTAATTTCAAACCAAAAAACCTTTCATAGCTATTTGCATGATACTGTTTTGACAAGGTGTAAGGCAGTCCTTTTTACAATTTTTGCTTTGGGATTCAGATTTAACCCTATGGGACTGTTTAAAAATATGTTTTTCTGTGGTTCTTAGTCCCCGAAGAATATAATTATTCTCTTTAGTAGCGTTTGACAGAAATAAAGAAAACAACATAACTCAGATTTTCTCCTTGTTTAGAATGACTGATCAATTTTTCAGGAGCAAAATTCTCCATGAACTTGTAATGCAGGTGGTGGTTTTTTAAACTCTGGAAAATTGAAAACTGTATAACTTCTAAGCACTGCATTTTTTCCCCCTAGACGTTTCCGAAGACAAGATGTTCGGCATGGAAATGCAGCTCAGCAATGTTTTGGACAGCAGTTTGTTGGTAATCCGAACATAAAAAAATTGCTACCAGTTGCTTTGAGTATACATTACAGATCACTGTAGCAAAAAGCATTAAACATCTGATATGAAAGACCATAGCTATCTTTGCAGTTGACCTTCACAAGAGTAATGTTTACTGAAACATTATGTTTCTTTGAGGGGTGAAGGACGTTAAACAGAAATTATTTTTAAATAAAAAAAAGTTTATTTTTACTTGAAAGCATTAACAACTCACAACAGGGTTCTCTAGATATTTCGAACCAATATATTTCCCAGCCCTTAATGTAAATGTCTTGTTGGATATCTCCAGAACTATTTATGTCTGACATTTATATAGTGTGTTAAAATTTGCAAAGCATTTTATATGCATTGTGTCATCTGTTCCTTGTAACAACATAGGGATTATTATTAACCCCATTTGTATAGACAAGGAAACCGAGGCTCATAGAGGTTGTGACTTATCTAGAGTCAGGCAAGGAGTGTCAGAAGCAGTATTTTAGGCCACACCTTCTTGACTATAAACAGAGTATTCTTTCCACTATACCACATTTTCAATCTACCTAGTAACTTCCACATTCCACTTTCTTTTCTACCTGTCAAGAACTGCTTTTCTCCCTGATCCCTCAATTCTTCTGCTATGACCAAGTATGACTACTTTCTTTCATCTATGAAATATGGCCTACTAGGTCAGTTCCAGCACTAGGAATGTAGTACATAAAGTATCCTTGCTTTACCAAGTCCTAGACTTGCTATTAACCAAATGTTTTTGCTGTTTGTTCTCCATATCAATTACTCCAACTTATTGCATAGAAGGTTACCTCTGGTTGCCTAAAAGCCTAGTTCTAAGTCCTAAATTCCTCCTCACCTGGGTTTCTTATATTTACTTTAGTTGAACTGCCTGGACTTGCTTCATTGTCTGTAGAGACATGTGGTGTGTTTGTTTACCCCTACCTTAGCTAACTTCCTGACTGTGACCAATGACCCTAAGCCATCCATCTCCACTATTATCCAGCCCAATTCTCATTCCTGACTGTCTTTAAATGTCTCTATGTCTTTTCTCCTCATGTCCTACATAATACTCCTTCTTTTTAATGGACCTAGACCTAAACAACTCAACTCTGAGAAGTTGTTGTCCAACTTTGATCTTGAAATAACATTTTTTGCCCTTAAGGGACAAGAGCTTCTTTGTGACAGAGACAAATCAATGAAAGAGAAAAACAAAGAAAGAGAAAGAGAAGCTAAATACTAACCCCAAAATTTCCTTTACAGGAGAAGTATTAGATAAGACTGAGGAACGTTTGGCTTATGGTATAGAATATAACAGTACTTTGCTGGAATGCACTCCACGATCACTGCAAGCAAAAGTCATCTGGTTTGTACAGAAAGCACGTGAAACAAGAAAGGAAGAGGTAATTTCTCATTTGATTCTATATCTTTATAGAAAAGTGCTTTAAAATTGGGCACAAGAGTCTTTTACTGATCTGAATTTATGTCTTCTTAAAACTTTTATTATTTTTTGTCAACCTTTTCAATAGCTATCAATCCTTTATCACATTCAAGTTCATTAAACTTGGCTGCTGGAAATAGAAAATTGATCTAGAACAGGGGTTCCCCACCTCTGATCTAGAAGAATGATCAGTCCAGCTCAATGAATTTAATGTTAGTATGTCACAATGATTTTACAAAATTGTAATGCTAATTTCTCACTGAAGTCCAACTCTGATATCTCATCATGGCATAGCTATTACCCTAGGTTCTCAAAGGCTGTTCTAACAAAGGACAAGTTTTTCAGGTTCTGCCAAGTGAGAAAGTCTGAATTGAAGGAAGTCTGGTAATGGGTCACAAATCTCTGAAATTTAAAGATATATCTAGTTAAGTATGAAGAAATTCAACATAAGGTTGTTCAACATAGGGATTTTTTCCAGCCATAGCAATGTACAAACCAACCAATCAACCAGGAAGCATTTGTTAAGCACTTACTAAGTACTAGTGATACAAAAAGAAACATGAAACAGTCTCAGGTCTCAAGGATCTTACATTTTAACAAAGACCATATACTAAGGCAAACATAAGTGGCAACGTTTCTTGGTTAGAGGAGATAATCATGCTGATAAAATCTTTGATTGTGACTAGTTAAACGAAAGTTCCTAGTAAGAAAGTAGTATTTTTCTTAGTATTGCTCCTATGTTAAATTAGATCATTGTAACTGATTTCCTTCTTGTAAACAAAATGAATGATTTGTCAATGAGGTAAATTACTTTCCGAAGAAAATGATTAACATGATCATCATTATAAAAATGAATTTATTCAATGCCTGGTTGGATGATTTTAGAATAAAGACCATTACTAATGAACCACAAAGACACAGTCCCTGCCCTCTAGCAATCTACAGGTTAATGTAGGGGATGTTAAGGATATAGAATATGATAATAATAGTTGGCATTGATTTAATACTTCAATGTTTGTAGAGTACTTTACCTCATTTATGTTATGTGATACTTCCAACAATCCTGTGAGGAAAGTGTGTTTTTAACTGATGAAAAAATGAATATTTAGAGAGATTAAATGACTTGCCTGTGGTCACATTGGAAAAAATTCATGAGGTGGCATTCATATCTGACTCTCTGCTGATACCAAGTCAAGGAATATTGTCATTATGTAATACTGCTTCTGTAGACAGAGAGAAAGTAGAAAGGAAAAAAAACCCAATAATTTAGTGGATAAAAATACATTGTTGAAGTATAGATATAGGTCATGGACAAGTGCCTTGTAAAGGTAGAAAGCAGAGATGGACAAGTAATTAGGGAGATACAGAATTTCTTTCTTCATCAAAGAGCAAAACCCATGTGTCTCTAATTTTTTCATTTCTCTATTGTCTGCAGACATGAGACATTCTTAAGTCCCCTCAGTCCTATAATTCTTTATTTGATCCTTCTATTCTTATTCCAATTCTGTCTTCGTGATTCCATTCCCCTAGTCACCTAATATCAAAACAAATCAAGGCATCAGTAATTTCTAAGAATGCGTGTCTCACTTTGCATCACCTCTCAGGGAAGATGTTTGAGATATGTTTCAACACTGGTGTTTTGAAGCAGCTACTAGTTACCATTTTCATTAGTTCCAAAGTCTTTTCAAATTGGTTTTTTTCATACTGTTGTTGTTGTCATAATTTAAATTCTTCTCCTGGTCATGCTTATTTCATTTTGCATCAGTTCATCCAAGTTTTTCATGTTTCTCTGAATCAGTCATATTCTTTATTTTTACGGTACAAGAATGCTCCATCACACACATATTTTATAATTTATTAAGCCTTTCCCCTACTTAGTGAGCATGTATCTTGTTTTTAGTTCTTTGCTGTTTCAAAAAGTTCTGCTCTCAATATTCTTGCACATATGGGTCCTTTTCATCTAAACTTGATCTCCTTTGTATATGTGCCTCATAGTAGTATTGCAAGATCATAGGATATTTACAGATAAGTATCATAGTATAATTCCAAATTGTTTTTCAGAGTAATTGAACCAATGAACACATCCAACAACATTAATGTGCCTGTTCCAGAACTCTTCCAACAATTGTTATTTTTTTTTTGCTCCCTTTACCTATCTGATGAGTATGAAAAGGAACCTCAGAATATTTTAAATTTTTGTTTCTCTAATTATTATTTATTTGGAGTATTATACATATGGTTGATAATAGTGTACCATAAATAATTAATAACTAGAGAAATCAGAAGAAAAGTTGATATAAAATATTAAATAAAATATTACTAAGAGGCTATAGAATCATTTTCAAACTAGTCCATATTACTATGCAAAATGATTAAAATTGCACAACTATATTAAGATACAGATACATAAAAAACTTTTCAAAAATACAACATCTATTTATGTTAAAAAAACATCAAAAACTATAGTAATAAGTGAATCTTTTCTTAATAATTTAAACCAAGGACAACTATAAATTAGAATCATTAATAGACTTTCCAATAAGATTAAAGTAAGGCTGTCCATTTTCACCATTATTCTTTAACATAATTTTAGTATTCCTAGCAATAGCAATGAAAATAAAAATAAATTAAGAGAATAAACAAGGGAAAGAGGCCATCAGCACTATATCAGGAGATATGATAGAAAACAATAAAGATTCAACTAGAACTTATTTTAAATAATTAATTACTACAATAAAGTGTAAGAATATGAAATAAATCCACAAAAGTATAAATACTATTTCCGTGTTTGACTAACAAAATCTAGTAGGAACGAGAAGAAAGTCTATTCAGAATATCTTTAGAATATATAAAATATCTGAAAGGCAATCTCCCAAGACATACACAGGATTTGTAGAAATATATCTGTAAAACACTTTACAGAAATGAAGACAATAAAAATGGTAATTCTTCATGATTGGTTTATGCAAATATATTTAAAATGATCACACTAGCTAAAATAATATAGTAAATTTTATACCTATCAAAATGCTTTGTTTACCTTATAGAATTAGAATAAGTAATAACAATATTCATCTAGAAAAGTAAAAAGTCAAAAATCTCAAGAAAAATGATGAAAAAAGGTGAAAATGAAGGGGAAAATTTAGCAGTCTCACATCTTAAACTATACCACAATGCAATTATTGTCAAAACCATTTGGTAGTGATTAAAAAAGTTGAACAATGTAATATGTTAGTTAAACAATCCCCATAAATAATCAAACTTCATAGCATTTTGTAGAATAAATCAAAGATTCTAACTCCTAACATAAGGACTTCCTATTTTGTATGATCTGCTAAAAATAAAATAAACTAAAGCCTGGAAGGCAGTCTGGCAGAAATTAAGCTTAAACTAATAACTTAGGTACCTACTAATACACCATAATAAGCTCTGAATATATATATATATATATATATATATATATATATATGAACTGAACATTTTGTTATTAACGGAGGAGAAGGGAAATAGATATATTTTACTACTTCATATGGGATGAGGAATCCTAATCTATAAAAAGGATAGAGATGATCATAAAAGATAAAATAGAAATTTTTGATTACATAAAGCTTTTATATAATCAAAATAAATATGGTTAGAATTAGAAGAGAAACAAATAATTGGGAAGCAAATTATTTTCCTCCTTTCTTAAAGCTCCATATCTACCTCCTTCATCTCAGATGATCTGACCACTTCTTGTACTGAAATCTAGTCTACCTAACAAATTCTCTCACTTTGTTATTGTTCAGTTGCATCTGACTCTTCTTCACCCAACTTCGGATTTTCTTAGCTAAGATCCTGCAGTGGTTTGTCATTTTCTTCTCCAGTTCATTTTTACAGATGAGGAAACTGAGGCAAGCAAGGTTAAGTAACTTGCCCAGGGTCACACAACTAGGAAATGTCTGAGGCTAGATTTGAACTTAGGAAGATGAATCTTCCTGGCTCCATGCCCCATACTCCATCCACTGTGGCAACCTGCCTCTAATCCTTTGTGCTTCTATAGCTTCATCTATCTTCTTCTCTCAAGTCTTGGAGCAAAAGGTAGGCCTTGTCCTTGATCCTACTTCTAATCTCCTTCTGAGTCATTTCCATTAGTTAGTTCTCTCTCCTGAGTCGTCAGTCTCTTTATTTCACTTGCTACTTTCACTCTGCCAATAAACATGATCAGTTTTCTCCTAACTAGGGAATTTTAAAAAAATCCTTTAATCCTATAACTTTTTTGAGGTACTATTCTAATTCTCATCCCTTACACTGAACAAACTTCTTAAAAGATAGTCCACACCCAGTGCCCGAACATTGTCTTCACTCGGTGTTCACATAGTACTTGGCTTTGCAACTTGTTAGTACAGTTCTGCTTCATTACATATTTCAATGGACTTGTCTTCTCATCAATGTGAGTTCTTCCTCTAACAGCACAGTTGAAAACTCATCTTTGTCTTCTCTTCCTGTGAAATGCTTCTCCATGTCATTCCATAAATCCTCAATGGACATATTACCCAACATTCTGGAGCTCTTTCTCTGGGTCTTTATACCAATGTAGCATCGAAGTTATTCATCCCTTATTCTTCCCTCTCATGAGATGACTTCCTTTTCTGGTCATGTATGTCCACAATTATGTCCCTTACGCTACTTTTTTGAGCACATTGTCTTTGACAGTGTGCTGCAGCATCCTTAAACTCACTATTCACTGTAATTGTTTATCAAACAATACTATATGTTATAATTATCTGTGATGGTGCCTTATCAACATCATGGACATTGTGGTCAGTGAGGGCAAGAACTGAGACTTGTCTAAATTTTGTATTGACTACAGTGCCTACCACTGTGCTCTGCACACAATTGGTATTTAATAAATGTTTGCTGAATAAATAAGGATTCATTTCCTTAGTCTTAAAGTCTATATATACTGTGTATGTATATATT